CTATTTCAAGTAATACTTATATATTTCAAAAGACAAAGTATAATTATATATTTTTTAAGTTTATTATAATTTTTTAGCTATATGATATTTTAGATACAATAAAATATTAAAACTAATATTAAAAAAAATTGGTGGAATAAAATATGGAAGGAAGTTAAAAAATTTGTACAATTATGTGATATTTATTTAAAATAAAAAAACTCCTTGTCATTGACTTTATGGACTTCTCTAACTACTACCAAATTAAGAAAATCATGGTCATTTTTTTCTATGAATCTTATCACAAACTTTATAATCTTGAGCTCTCATATCTTTATATTTGTGATAATAGATTATTTCACAAAGATAATATATTTTGTACCATATAAATAAACTATCATGAATATAAAATATTTAGATTTTTTTATACTATTCATTGCTATTATAGGTTATTAAATAATATTATATTAGACAAAATTAATATTAATATTATACAAGATCAAGATATTGAATATACCAAAAAAAATGCAAATGCTACATATTCTTATAGAAGTAGACAACAATCAAGAATTTGAATATAAGACGTTTTGGATTCAAGGCATTCTTGAAATAGATTCAAATATCTTATATATTAGCATAGATGTGATATTAGAGAGCTATCTAAGAATCTTACAAATGTAGCACAAAAAATCAAAGCTTTTTAGTATTGACATCTATCAAAACAAAGATGAAGATGCAATAAATTCTTTTTTGTAAAAAAAATAGATTTAATAAAGATAGCATTCTATCTCCTATCATTATTTGTGATTTTTTGTATATTTGTGGTATTAAAAAGATGAAAAATTAACAACCAATAAACTCAATTCAAAAACTATCATTTGCTAAATTATCACATAAGACATTAAAATTATTACAACCTTCAAGATGTCATAATAAGGATGAAGATCTTTAACAATAATATGTTCTTTCTTAAATAAATGGCAAGATACAACACATTTGATATCATGACCATTGAAGAGACTCTCAATGTCTTTGATATTATTAAAGATAGAAACCATTTTTTTATAGTATTACAAATATTTTATTTAAAAAAAAATTATGAAGGCTTTAACAATGATCAAATAACAAACTAATCTTCTTACCTTAGTATAAGATACTATTAATAGTTGAAAATATTTATCAAATACCTTCAAAGAAAAGAAAGATTAGATTATATAGCTAATATAATTTGCTTCATCTTTGATTTATTTAAAATGTAATTATCACTCTTTATAGAAATTCTCTTTAAAATAAGAGATAATGTCACAGACATCAATATTAAAATTATTAATTAAAAATATAAAATAAAAATAAATAAATAAAATAATAATAAAAATAAATAAAATTTTAAATTATTTTATAAATTAATTTCTTAGAAGCTTTGAAGATTCAAATTTTATTTTACAAGTATTTGTAGGTCATTGATAGATTGACAACTTTATTAACAAATCAGCCTTATATTTCACATGTCCACCACTTGTTTTGTAAATTAGCTACTTGTGATACAAATTGGTTATATTATGCACATATGAAAAACTTGATATACAAGTTAGATATATGTCTCTTAAGTTAGATATTTGTTCAATGACCTATAGAACATTGAAGCATAGCTACTTAATTAGATAGTGTATATAGAAGTAAGAGAAAGGCCTTCTTCACTCTTGTCAATTTCTTTCTTGTATTCTTGTCCTAATTTTAAAATCTCTAGTTTCTTTGTATTTGGCAATAGTCATTCTAATTTCTATCTTATATTTATAAATAAATTATCTACTTTCTCTTTCTAAGTATCATAAGAGTGTATTTTTTCTTTAAAATTTATTTATAACTCATATCCTTGAAATCCATTTAGTTTAATATTCTAGTATTTTTTTTTTCATTTTATTAAGTGAAATTTTTTATAAAGTTATATTATTAATAATTTTATATAGTTTAACATTAAAAGCATCTTTTATCAATTTTACATGGCTTTTATATTTATTTATACTATATTTTTTAAAAAATATTAAAATTTTATAATTTCTAGAATTAATTTTTGTACTAAATATTTTATTAGGTTCAAATTTAGTATTTAAATTAGATTCAAGAAGAAATATTTGTAGAAATTTTTTTTTTAAATATAAAATGATAATTAGGTTTTTAAAATAATTAATAAATAAATAAATAAATAAATAAAAGTATAGGTAATTGAAGTAAAAAAACTAACTAAAATTATTTAATTACATATTATAAATAAATCGAATGTTTAATAATTCAAATTTTTTAATGACCATATTATTTATATATTTTCTTGAATTAGCCATACTTAATTTTTATTTTAAATCTAAAAATAATAATTATTATTTTCTATTCTTTTGACTTTGAATTTTTTATGAATAAAATATATTTTAGTTTTTAGTTTAGCTACAAGTAAGTTTTTTATATTCTAAAAGACTTTGATCTTGGACATGTATTATAAGATTTAAAATTTCTTATATTTATAGCTATGAAAGTATTGTTTTTTCTCCACTCTTAAATGATGATAATAACTAACTCTCTATCAAAACTTCAAAAAAATAAGCTGATATTCATATCATTGTTCATTGTCTTACACCTCTAAAATCCCAATTTATAGTTAGTTGTAATCTATTCACTTAAGTCTAATATTAATCAATGTGTACCTTCACTTGAGCTATAATACAGACTTACTAGATTAATCTTTTTATTGTCCATTCATCCAAGAGCTAATAAATAAGATATAGATTTATCTTTTTAGATTTAAGATTTTCCATATTAATTGAATGTTTAGGAATTAAATATACAATGGTCTTAAACTAGACTCTTCAATTTTCTTCTTAGTTCTTCTAGTGCCTCCTCTGACCTCTAACCTCTCTTGCTCCCTTACTCCCACACACTACTCTCTCCTCTAAGCAGAGAGGGCTGAAAAATCCTAGTCAACATCCTAACCCCCCTAGTCTTTGTCTTAACTATATTCTTCATCCATCTTGGTCTTCATCCATTTACTAAACTCAATTACTTCCCTCAAGGCAATAACTACCCAAGGTTTATGCAACCATAATGGGATTTATTGACCTAAACTCTTGGTCTACTAAATACCTTGTTAATAGTAGCCACTAATTATTTTTATATATTAATATAATCATTCGTTGAAAAGATAACTGGCTAAAAAATTGTTATAATGTATTTAAAAGTTTTAGAAGTATATAAGTCTTTAGAGTATCTTGAATATTTTCTTGCAATAAAATAATTTGTCCTTCAATTCAAAAAATATATTTATATCAATTCTAGAATATATTTTAGTTGTTAAAATAAAATCTTCATTCTATAGTATTTTTAAAAAGTTCCATTTTTGAAAAAAATATCAAAAATTCTTACAAATATAATATTCAATTTAATTAAGTTAAAACTTTATCTAATTTGAAGTTGTCATTCTATTTTTAACTTATTAAATAATAAAATAGTAAGTTTTTTAATAAAATGTTTATGTTCTATTGATTTAGTATAAAACTTTGAACTTTTTGATTAAATTTTTAAGCAGCACAGCATAATTTTTAGGAATTAAAATTATTTAATTTTCTCATGTAAATAATTTTGCTTCCAAAAAATTATAATGTGTATTTATTTTTACCTCCTTTAATACATACTTGATAATAGAAATTTGTTGGATTGAACAATGTATCTTTGTATTATGTAGCTCAAACCATGGTAATATGAAAATTAGTAGATTATTAAGAAATTAGATGATCTTAAATACAACATACAAATTTTAAATTATTATAATTTTTTAAGTAGTTTTTTATTCTTTATAGAATTTTATGACACTTCAAATATATTATTATTTTAATCAACAAGTTTTGAAAAGATATTATTTAGAATTATTATTATTTTTTTAATCATGTATATATTAATTAATCATATTAATTTTCTAATTTCTAAAATAAATTCTTTAAGTTTTTTTTGTTGTACGTTAACATATTTAAAATTATAAGCTAAAGCTTAGGATGAAGTATGAATATTTATTTATTTATTTATTTACTTATTTACTTTTTATTTTTTATTTTTTTAATATAAAAAATGAATCCAAGTTTTATTAATTTTTATTAGATAGTAATGAATTGATATGTGATATCTTGTAGTGTTTTGAATTAATGTGTGCTACTGTTAACATTATATTTTAGAATGGTTGGAAGGATATTATGTCCAAAATAACCATCACAGTTAAAGGATACAAAATAAAGAAGCCAAAACAAAAGAAATAGATACCCTTGGTCCAAAATCCGGGCATTTTCTTGTCGGACCTTTGATTTGGACTCTAGTACTGTAGGCATTTTCAGATCCAAAACCAAGACGTGTGCTCACCTAGACTTTGTTGCCATATAAGATAGAAATAATTTTATTTTAAAAAAATTGACCATCATAAAATAAGACTTTATGTCAAAGGTAGAAAATCCACAAATTTATGTATACAATGGTATCTTTTTTAGTAATGTATTTACTAAAAATAGATATCAAAAATAAAATTCAATAAAAAATACTCTTGTTAAATACTCTTAGATAATTCTAAAAAGCTTTGAAAGTTTACAAAAGTCTGTAGGAGATTATAAAATTTTAATGAAAGTTTTAGAAGATCTCGAAAGATTCTAAAATTCTACCAAAAAAATACAAAAACTCACAAGATTCTAAAAGGTGCTTTAACCACTATTTGTCTTATCTTATAACTACCATAATTATAATTTATAAAACTTTATATTTATACAAGACTCTTCAATTGAATCAAGTGTAATTTTTTCATGTATATATATCATTAACTACAAGATATTGACTCAAAATTCAACGCTGTTCCATTCGAAACAAAAGAGCATGTAAACATACACTGGATACAAATAATGCAAGGACGCACACAAAACAATGCTGTAGACTTAACGAAATGCAAATTTATCAGCTCAAAATCGATGTATACCGAAAATGGACATACGCTATTTTGATGAGTCAATTGTCACCAATCAATTTATGAGCTAATTGACATTAGCCACTCAAACATAAATTAACAATGCTTAAGTGTTTCGGTCCTCACTGACATTATTCGGAGGTTCGCTTTGAAATTGATGCCAACCGATCATGTCAGCATTGAAGACTTCTCACAACACATTTTTTACTACATCATTGCTTGTTGAGTGACCTCAATTCATCACCATGGAGGTAACAAAAACGATTATCAGGGAATCGCTACTGTTGAGTGATTCCTACCACTACTATATATTCCAAAAACCCCCTTGAATTATATGAGAACCTGCTTATTATTACTAGCTCATACTTGCGCAGTTCCAAGACGATGCTACATGAGATGACTTGCTTTAGATGAGAGGTTCAGAACATGAAACATTCTAAATTTGATAATCAGCACACACTGCAAATCTTTCATCATAATAACATATCCTTTAGCCACTCAGCTTCTACGTCTGATTCAAGGTAAACTATACACAGTGGCTGGACAACAGCAAACACAAACGGCTATTAGCAAAATAAACAAAGAGCGAGTGAGCATTCTCAACTCGGAAACCTCCAAAAATGTCAAGTAGTTATAATCTCGTGGATGCGATCTTTGTGCTTGGATTAGCTGAGCAAGTTAGACTGGCTAAACATGTGTAGCTGAACGCCCCGCAGCCCTTGAGGAAGCTAAACATGTGGATATACCAGCGGCGAATAATCGGGCATCCACATGTGGTCTTCGATGTACTTCAACAATACAGCCTGCAAAAGAATTAGCTTGAGATTAGTGTACAGAATTTGTAGCGTTGAGTGTTATTAATGTGCTTATACGACCAATAATACCATGTGTTTATTCTATTAGAACGCAGAAAAAGTAAGTGGAGCTACGTTGGATTAATTGTTTCAATGTCCATCACCGTTCAATTGAACTAATGACAAACTGCATTAAGAACTACTCTTTCCTTCATGAAGTATGAGATGGCATGAGAAGAGAGACGCACATCATCTTGAACCAGACGCCTGAGTTCTTTGATATCAGTGTCTCTGTATCCTTCAGCAATATCCTCCTTGACTGCCTCTTTCACTATTGCTGCTGCCACTCGAGCTGTGATCTCCCGAATCCTATTCAAGTACACATAGATTCGCCACTCAGAAGATGAAATACGCAAAACTGCATGGAAAAGACGTATTTATCCAATCTTTTTTACACCTCTATTTCCCTAAATTCACCTCGTATGCAACAAGGATCGAGTGAAGCAACTTAATCATCTTACTTGGACATACACTTAAACTACATTTCAAATTCTAAGGAAACTTGGCGTGCATGCTGAATCCTGAACAATCTTCTCGAAATGTACACAATCCACAATGTCAGCAGCAACTAAGACCCTATTTAACTTGAGGTAAAGCCATTGGTGAAAAAATTCATAACCATTGGCTGATACGCAAGAAAAAGATCACACCTGGATACAGCAGGATATATGATCCCTTCTTCCAATTGCTCCGGTGTCATGATTGCAGCAAGCCTAATTCAGGTTCACACATTCACAATGTTTACTTTCACAATGTTTACCTTCACAATCTTTGTGATTTCAATTATGTTCACCACACAAATAAACAATTCCTTATAGAGCCGAGATAAACACTCAGCTCCATCAATCAACGACTCTTTCCCCAAAATCAAGCACGTTTCTACCCATTCTATAAATTATAAATATTATCGAGCTGTTGTAACTCATCTAATGCAGAATTCAGAGTTTTATCTGGAAGGAAGTATATTGTTACTAGTGGGGGATATTTGCAACAAAGCTCAAGCACTAGCTGTCAACCTCGTGCACAGATTTCTAATTTAGAATATTATAAAACATCTGAAACGTAGCAAATTGAATCAGAAAATTTGTGCTTACTCTTCTGCAGCAGCGTGTAGCATACCATCAGAGATATGGTGAGCACCGGCCATGAGGGTACCAAGACCAATCCTGCAAACATTGTCAAAGCAACATTGTTCAAAAGATTGTTGTAGCCGATGTGCTCAACGTCAACATGTGAAGCAGGCCGACGTGGTCTAATTCCACTCTGTGTAATACTATGTTAGCCTCGGAATTGTTGTTTAATCACAGCAGGTTAACAAGATGGACTGCGGTGTGAAACAATTAGGGACTCGAACATTCAAGTATCTCAGAACAATGAAAATAAATAAGAGGATATCCACAAGATCTAGAAAAAAACAACAAATGTTGAACGTCCTACTACTGGATTGTCAGCAAGGAAATATACCCAGGGAAGAAGTACATATTGTTGCCCTGGTTCGAGTGACCTGTTTGACCACCTCCTGCACATCAACACGCCATTTTCTTCATTAAACAACAACAATCCAGATAAAAGGAGTTCATAGCTGGTCAACAAGAGAAATTACATGCAAAAATAACCAAGTTTCCACATCAAGAGGTTCCGAAGCCACACCAAGATCAACATCCCGGAACGGGCTACCGCTTGCGAAGACAATATTTGGTCCAGCATGTTGAAATGCTTCCTTGGCTGTACACTCAGCTGCAAAACCAATCAAAGAACGCCAAGTTAAGCACAGAAAAATCATTAATATCTGCAATTTCTTCTAATCTTAGACTTACATTGAGCAACACAAATCATTATTCAACAGTACTGGTGGTTGAACGTCCGATTGGCTAAGAAAATGTACCATTGGCAGTGGGATTCGACAAAGGAAAAATAGCTGGCCTTGGACACCCTGATTCTTTCATTGCCTCCAGAACCTGCGAACATTTCGAAATTACATTTTCTATTCGAGAACCTCAAAACAGACATAGAAGCTTCGCATCAAACTGTTCTCAAAAAACCGAAGAAACTTCGTCTTGTCGGAATAGTTTCTGCTGCGTCTGGATTTATATATGCTACACTTTCTTTTTCCACAGCCAGCCCCATACTTCGCACACTGGTGGTTATAATAAACGACACACGTGTGCGGCGGAATAAACTACATAAATTAGTGCTTAAAAGGTTGAAAGATTTCTGCAGTTTATTTTCCTCTTAAGATGCTTTTTCTTCGTTTTCGTCAGACGAGAGCTCACAGGATAGGATATTTGAATTGCTTCTATATTGATGATGAATTAGTTTTAGGTAATAGGTACCATCATCATGCTACTCTGTATGCATGCAAAAAGATTACTTGAACACAGCATGCACACCTGCTGGGTGAAAAGGCCTCCAACTCCAGAAAGTCCCAAAAGTACATCAGGTTTCACTTTTTGAACCTAACAGGACATAAGGCACAAGAGTTATCCTGGGAATTGAAATAAAGACAAAAATTGGAGGCAAAAAAATGTTGGCATTACTAGTTTGTCTGGCTTTATATATGCCACACAAACTCTTCTCAAACCAATGTCATGATTATTAGCAGAAAAACAGCAAGAGACTAAAAAAAATGACCAGTGAATGTAGTGGTGACTCACCACTTCCAACAGCGTTGCACCATCTTTCAAACTACCGGATCCTTCAGACTCTTCGACCTCCCTTGCATATTGTTCCACATCAGATGCCAGATTATCTCGTGCTTTCGTCACTAATCCCTGCACAAAAAAATGACAAAAAGATATGGCAATTGAATATGCAAAACCATCTCGAGACCGATTAATTCAGTCATCATGAAAGCAGTGAGTAATTTTTGAATCAAAAAGCTAGGAAGCATTCCACCTGTTGATTCAAGTAACTACAGATGCCATTTTTTAATTTTTTGGATGAGAAAACTAGGTGAAGAACTTTAACTTCAACAAGATTAATGCGGAGCTGCTGATAGTCTTACATCTTTATCCAGAATCCAGAACTGATCGATGGCCTTCTTATGCGTTTCAGAGGAATGACCGCCAAGCAATCTTTGCATTGCACTCTTCACCATGTTCACAACCCCAAGACCGGCACTGCAAAGAGAACAACAGAGGAAACAAATACCAAACATACACATCAAAAAGCGCCTCCAGATTCAACAATGTAAGCAAAAACGTCTAGGCATCGTGCATACTTTCGGACACAAACCTACATATATGTTAAATTCCTAATCAATCCGTACACAAGGAAATAAACCTCACATGACATAAATTATATGTTTGATAAGGCAAAAAGACAGACGTTAAAAAAACAGCATCGCGTTGCTAACACATAGAAAAAGTATGAAGATCTAGAGAAAAGCATTAAGGTACCATCGAAGCTGCACGAATGAATGATCCTAACGCAAATAACTCCAATTTTGGTGGAAGGCTGTGTACCTTCCAGCACCAACGACAACGATTTTCTGTTTGACGAGATCCTCCATGGGTTTACCCATCGCCCGCACTGCTCCGAGCAAACCTCCAAGTGCTACCCCAGCAGTTCCCTGATGAAACATCGACATCATCAATGAACAGTGATTTATTATGTGAAATTAAAAATCTTTGCCTCACTTAAGGTACACATCAACTCAACACTTTTTCATGTGTTACTTGACACATGTTGCAATTCTTGGAGTTGGAAGGTTATCGAGATATTTCAAGGACTACAAATCACTTGCACCAAGCGCAATATCATCCTCAAAGAATAAGGGCATCAGCACATCAGAAAATCAAACAAACAGTGTAGAAGTTACCTGCACATCATCATTGAACGTGCGGTATTGATTGCGGTACCTCTGCAGCAACTTGAAGGCCCACTTATTTTGGAAATCCTCAAACTGTCACAAGGTACAGATTTTTATAGGAATAAGGATTTGAAATATTAATCATTAAAAATATATTATGACATACCCAAATTGTTGGAAATCACCATCTGTGGATGGCATTCTGAAAATCAATCAGATCTACCTAAAACTAAACTCCCCACCAATATTTTTGCATGGATCATTCACCACATGTTTGAATTTTTTTTGTTCCATGCGACTTTTTCACAAGCCCAAGTCCCAAACTTAAATGTAGCGCTTCTAGTAAGTCATACCTGAACGATGACATTTGGCCATCGAGTAAAAACCGCCTCCATAAACTCATCAATGAGAGAAATGTAGTCATCGCCTTCTATCCGTGTGTGTTGAAGTCCCATGTCTATGATGTATAGAAACCAAATTCCAGTCAGACATATCATCAAGATACCTAATAGAGAACATTGTCTATAGACAAGATTCTAAGGGTGTACCAAATTGCGACACAGGAAGTTGCCTTACATTGTGGGTTGTCAAGAAGGGCCTGATTGTTTGTACCAACATCAATCATTACTGGCATAACCTGCATATGTGCCATGAGAAGAATTATTCACATGTTATCAAATAGAAAATAAATCTAGTTTTTTTCCTGTAATTGCTCAATTCCCAAAAGGAGTAGCAATTGAAAGAGTAATTGAAAGTGTACAAAACAAATCACCAGGAGCGTATCTCTCTAGACATGAAAGCACAAACATACAACAATGATGATACCAAGGAACGAACAAATGAGACATACATCATCACTTTCTGCATGACTCATGATCTCATATATGATTCAAAAGGATCCTAAAGTAAGTTTCAATGATTTGATTCGTCACAAGTCAATAGTTACTTACACGCTGAGGGTTAATGCCCGCTGCTGCAACATATAAATCCAGCTTTCCAATTGGTATCCCAATACCTTGCACTCCCAAATCGCCTAAACCGAGGATACGGCTGCCATCTGTAACTACAATCATATCCACCTGTATGAAACAAATGTTGCATAGAGTAAATAGAGTTAGCCAAATAATTTCTAGTAATAGATGTGTAGGCTACAATTAGTCTCTGATTTCTTTATGGAATGTGACGAAGAGAAATAGACTATGAACAGAATCACATCAATACATTGAACTACAAAACTTTTAAATTTGAACATGTAACTGTACCAGGAAAAAAATATTACTTTCCACATTGTAATGCAATTAAAGTAGACGGCAAGAGTTGAACAAGACCTGAGTCGATGGCCAATTGTACACAATTGACATCATCTCGCCGCGATCCCTTGCGGTGAAATACATTCCTCGAGGCCGTCTGTAAAGACCACTGTATCGTTGACACACCAATCCAATGGTTGGGGTGTATATGATGGGCGCAAATTGTTCAATATTGCTGATCAGAACCTGCACTAAACATAAAACATTCATCACAAACCAATAAGAACCAGTCTATCGCCAGCTTCAATATCAACCAAAGACATACACGTCAACAAATCAAAAATGCCAAAGACTGATTGATAGGAGAAGCTGACCCTGTAATAAAGAGTCTCGTTTCTGTCGTGTAACCGATTAAGGATACGCCATTTTGCAAGTGCAGTCATATCTTCAGCTCCATCTTTCGTGTGTTTCTCCAAGGAACGAAAGTTTCCCACTGCGAGATTCACGTTTTAAATTCAGGGTGTTAGATTCAGAGGTCACGTTTCAGTCAAAGCAACAACTTTCTTAAGACTTGGGTGATAATCATAAAAGAATTCGAGGTGACCTTCACTTACTAAATCGCTCATATTGCTGGTCGAAGGTCATAATTCGTGGAGGTAGCAAGCCACGTAGACCAAGTCGATCTCTTTCTGCGAGTGGATATGCGGTACCCTAAACCCACCATGCAGCGGTTGTGAGATGTCAGGATGCCCACATGGAAATAAATAATGATACAGTCCAACTAAATGCAAATTTTAAGTGCAAGAAACTTTGCCGCTTTTTCGAGAAACTTGATCACAAGCTGACCGTCGGCAATAACACTATTTAACATAGCATCCCGAGACTTTACACGACCAATAGGTCGCTTGCACTCACAAAAATCAACTGTATTAGCTTAGATTGGTCATTTGAGCCTCACCCTAATCTAAAGTTCAGCAATGTAAACCTGAAAAGCTTCTCCCACAAGCATGAACACTAAAATTTCCGGAATCAGATAAACAAGTCTGCAAGAAGCCAATTAAACAATAGTAAGACGTACCTTATTGAACCAGGGATCGTGCAGAATGTCTGTGCTGCGCTTATTCACAATGACGGGCCGCTTCACATTTTTGTGAAGCGAGCGGCGGCCAACATCCACGCTCGGGGACCATATCCATTGCTGTACAGCTCTAGCCACGATCTTGCGGAGCTGACTTCCCTGCACGGATTGGGACATGGCTGTAATGCAGTATCGAACGATTCCTAACCTGTGTAGTCACAATCCTGCATGTGCATATGCAAAAGTCAAGTGAAAAAAGCTGTCATTGCACCGTTAATACTCAAATCAAAGATTTTAAAGCCTCTCATGAATTCAGAACACAGTGACCTGAGACTTTCTAGCTTATTTTAAGCCTAAGACCCCAATTCCACGAGCATATCGATAATGAGGTCACTTTACTTCGACAATTCATGGCCAAACAACTGCACCAAACACATGCACTACGAGATCTATTAACGACGATCAAACAACTTGCAGCAAGCTGCGAGGCAATAGACAGATAAAGCTCCTACAGATCTGACCGTCTACAGCACCATACCATTACGTAGCTTACAGCAGAAAGCTTACAACTTCACCATCAAAAGTAGCTACAAGCTCGGTGAGAATCGACAATGATTGTCGGCCACATTCTACTGCAAATCGTAACTAAAGAATGATGCCAGAAACGACAGAGTATATTCCATCAAACCCATCTTCGAAAAGGCCGTCACGATTACGATAATACAATAATCTCAGTAAGCAAATGCGGACACAACATCCTTACTTGAACGAAACCAACAAGCACTATGAAAATATCTTGGTACATTCGGAGCTTAAGACTCTCGAATCTACAGTATCCCAGGACATCACATCGAATGTCTACATTTACTCCATAACGAATTCACACGAAACCACATGAACCTAAACAAACAAAACTGACAGGAGAGCCTCAAGAACCTACATGTACGAGTAAGGCAACTGCTCACTATCCACTCCCCCGCGACTAAACTCCGCGATTTCCTCCTCCTTCTCCTCCTCCTCCTCCTTCTTCAGGAACAGCAGCGGCACCACCCCCGTCACCGTCTCATACACTGGTCTCCTCTCCTACACAGGCCCGCACATCACCACCAGAAATTTCCCGACACTACAGCAGATAGCAGGGTGAGGGCATGCATGGACGCAGAGGGGGAGAAGGCAGCTAGTGGGCGAGCATGCGATGCGAGGAGGCAATGGGAGGAAATGAAGGCCAAGACCTGTTTCCACAGGAGCACGACGAGCAGGGCGTGCAGACAGGCAGGTGGACAGGCCCACGGAAACCACCTCCTAATTGCTTCGTAAAAGCACCGGGGTGGCAGCAGCAGCGGGGGGCGGTCCTTTTAGCTGAGCTGGCACTGACGTGGCACCCACGGACACCGGGTGGAGTCTCATGAGACCGCGTGGACTCGGCCTCCAAGGGAGCCAGGCTTTCATGGAGGCAGTTTTAGTAGCTAGCATTATCCAGTCAAGGGCTCCGTTGCCACGTTCCCACCACCCCCTCGGAACCCGTTCCCTTCGAGCCCCCCAGCCAGTCAACTCAACAGCACTCTGTCTGGTCAACAGACGGCGGCGCTGTAGGAAAGGGACACCGAGTTAGTGTGTGAGTGAGTGAGTTAGTGAACGAGTGTGAGAGTGAGAGGGGTAGTGAGTGAGTGCTGGGAGATACCCGAACCTAGCTAGGCAGCCTTGGACTCTTCCTTGCCCTCGTGGACAATCATCCATCCCCTGCTCCCTACTGCCAGCCTAGTAGGCGGATGAGTGTCATCTGTATTCATTCATCCCACAGATCATATTTCTATGTTGTTAACTTACTCTCTTTATAAGCTGCATCTGAAGTTTACTCAAGATCATGCAACATAATTCTAGTCCTTTCCGAGACTCATTTCCACATCTTCTTACGAAAAATATGTTTTTGGAATTCACTCCACTCTTTCAAACACATATATACATACATGTTTATTTGGAAATTTTGTAAGTTTGTATATTAATTTAGATGGTGGTGGTTATTAGAGAATAAATGATACACTGTAACTTATGTGATAAGTTAGAAAATGTTGGACAAAAATTCTGATAATCTTACAAGTAATAGAGATTAAGGCAAAACTTGTTTAATCCTTACTTTTTATAACTTACATCTGGAATTTAGCTTGTCTTAAGAATTATACATTTTCTTATTCCTTAGCATAATTATCCGATTTGGGATTCTTGTTAAATATACTTCTTAAAATTTTAAAGAAAAAGAAAAATAGAAGCACCAAAATAGGATTGTTAATAAATTAAATTATTATCAAAATACATCAAAGCTTAGTCTATATTATATTGACATACACAAAAAATTTGTTTTTTTATTTTGTTTTTTTTTTTTTTTAAAAAAAAAAGTATGGTGGTATCTTGGAGGCTATAATTTACCTGTTGCTAAGTAGATATTGGAAAAAATTCATTCATGATTTTTAGAGCTTAAAATTATTTTATGAATAAGACAACAACTATGCAAGATATTAAAATAAAAATACAATAGGAAAAATGGGTGTCAATTAAAAATATTCTATTACAATCATGTGCACTATTTCTTTTAATAAACTAGTAGTGCAAAAAGATAAAACTAATAAATACATAAATTATATTTATTTGGTATTAAAATTCTTTGTTTAATATTTAAAATATTTAAAATATTGTGATGTTTACATATATATTTAAATATATATATATATATATATATATATATATATTATTTAATATATATTAGCATAATTTTTTATTTTTTCTCTTATTTATTAAACTAAATTTATATTAAGATAAGTTTCTATAAAAAAATTTGTTCATTCACTAATGGTCTTAATCTTATTTTGAACTATTATTAAGCCTTCATTTGATATGATATAGTCAAAAAATTCTATTTTGAGCTCATATAATATATATATATATATATATATCTCCAACTTGGTGTATAACTTGGTATATAACTTGGTGTATTTCCACTATCTTGTAACTTTTTCAAGATGAAAGGGATCTTTTGTTTATGCTCTTTTTGAGTCTTAAAATAAATCAAGATGTCTCTACTTTCAATAATCTTGATAGAATGTTTGCTAGAATTAAGAAACAATGAAGTCCAATAACCGGCTTTATTGAGTGATTGAGGATCAATCATAGGCAAAAATAAGTCCATCACATTGTCTTGTAATTTCCAATTAAATTAGCTTACTAATCCCTCATCTTTCCAAATTATATCATACTCTAATTACCAGAACTCTTCATGGTCTTACTGTAGAAATGAAATAAGAAGAAAATATATATATATATATATATATATATACATACATGAAAAATCAAGAGTAATATTAGTCTAAAGGAGGGTAATCCACAACCTTTAGAGCCTTGTAGTACTATCAAAAAGAGGGATAATCTACTTTTTATCCAAAAAAAACCAAACTCTAACATTGTATTATGTCAATTTCAAAAAATTGTTGTAGACTCACCAATTAAGTAAAAAAAGACTCCAAGAGTTTAAGGAAATGAAACAAAAGAGATTCACTTTATATCCCAAATAAGGAGCTGCAATAAAGCATAAGAATAAGACCAAAAGGCTTAATTTGAGCCACGAGAATTGGGTTGTCAAAACTAAAGATCTTCTCAGCTTCAACTCTTGTATATACAAGGTATAAAGAAGCTCCTTGAGATAATATGAGAAGTTTGGTTTAACTATAAACAACTATTGATTATTATTTTTGTTTAGATGTTTTCTTCATCCTATCATGTGTTACATCTATCTCTTCTTTCAGCAATATGGATTGTAGTACCTCCAAGAATAGACAGTAGGATAGGAATTTGTGGTTCAAAACTATTAAAAATTTTAAATAGTTTTTTAAATTGGAGGATTAATTGAATATTACCCTTCTAATAAACTTCATAATATTTTTCAGATTTTTTATGTTAAATTGAAACATGGTATTGAAATACATATTTTATTGATAGCTATTCACTTTTAAAGCAACCTTTTGTGCTTTTATAAAGTCACTCCATTCTTGACTTACAAGAATTAACAAATATATAAATGGCATAAAAACTCCATTTGTTGTCAATATACAAGGTGTTAATAAAACATTGTTATGTATGTCAAGATGTTTTGCATTGTGTGCTTGAAGATCCATGATATTTTCTTTTGTAGTTGTTGTGTCAAGATTGGATATATATATATATATATATATATATCTTGATACATGTTAGAAAAAAAAATAATATCACCCTAGTAGTATATGAAGATATTAGAATTGAAAAGCATATATAAATAAATAAATAAAAAAGTGTAATAATAAGAAATATAATAATAATTACAATATATGTAAAATATTGCTAATGCCACTATAATTTTGGCTACTACCACCACAATTGTAATACCTACAATTTGTAATCTACCAAATGTCATCATAATTTTTGCTATTGCCACCACAAATTTATTTTTCTGAACTTTTTAATTATTTTGCAATAAAACTAAATTTACTTTAAATGTAATTTGAAAAAGTAAAACGCATTACTAGCATTCACAAATTATGTTTGAAGTAATTAAAAATATATATTGAATGGGCGGTGAATTGTGGCAATATCTACAAAAAATGTGGTGACATGACATTGGCAACATTTGGTATGTAAAATCCTAATTCCAAACCCAGGTACCTGCGCTTCCATATGATAAACTAATTACTTAATCTGAAGGAATAACTTTATTTTAAAAGTTAGGACAGAAGAGATCTGATTGTCGATACAACAAAAAAGTACAGGACCTTTGATTTTTTATCACAACACTTCATTAAAACATCCTGCACTTTTGTTCAATTTTTAATGAATAAAAAATCAAATTGTAACACACCAGTGTTTACATATTATCTTCTTCTCAATCACAACCACCCAGATACACCTGAACAAGTTGATTACCTTCGAATTAGAAATGATAGTGCGGATGATCGGGAGTGAAGAACATACACGAGGAAAATAAATAAATAAACCTTCGGTTTTACTTGAAACGCAAGACGCAGTATGAACAAAAACAACTGCCACATATCCTTTGAACCTATTCCTGTTCAGAGGTACAGCTTATATGACATCTGTTCCTAGCTACAAAATATTCCACGTTAAGTCCCAGGAAGTCTCGGATGTCACAAATATGCTAATAAGTTCATCCCGAACACTAGAAGCATTTACGTGTACAGAACATGCTTAGCATTAGCAATGCGATGAATTCCAAATCAAACCTCAAGGAGACAGTCAAATGAACTGCTCCTGCCTCCACCTGTGCTACAACTGAGAATCAAAGATTTCTACTTTGGCTGGACATTGTCCAGACTAGATACTTGAACAAGGTAGCTCCTCTTCATTCTAAACATTAGCTTCAATGAAGGATATCCTCTCCGAAACGAGCACAGGTACCCAGGCCAAAAGAGATTCAAACGACGCGAACCACCCCGTAGAGTCCGAGTCTGTGTTCGTTAACACATTGAAACCCCCGCAAATATACTATCATCGACTACCGCGCAAAATGCCTCCACTATCTCCTAAATGTGTGCAACAATTCTCAATCAATCACATATGGAACAACTGGGATGTATTCGACCTCCAATCCGAAACATTCCTATCAACCAGATAGAATGCGTGTGATTGTGCCCTGAGCCCACTCAGCTGTCTCTTTCAGCTGCTGGTCATCTGAAGAAATGCATTCATCAAGGAAGTCTTTATAGAATACTGTACATTGAAACAAAGCCGCAGCATTGGCTCCAAGCGTATCAGCCAAATCACCCATAACTCCAATTGCAGCCTTCGTCACCACATCATCCCTGCAATGAACAAAGGACATGAGTTAGAAAAGGATCAACAGGCGAAACAATAAAAATAAACACAAAAGTCATACAAGCAGATTTAACTGACGTCCAAGGCATAGAAATATCAACTACTATGCCGATCACATTTCGTCAATCACGATATACAGAGCACTCAACCACGGACACCTGCTATACGACACAATTGTTACCAGCTTCTCCAACCACTGTACCACTTGACAATAGACACCTTGAACAAATAGCTGGGAAACAAAACGCAAAATAAAAAAACAATCGGTTCGTTCTGAATTAGTATTTCCCATACCTGTCTTTGTCCTGATAAACGTTCTCAATAAATTGCAGAATATGCGCAGCATAAGGTGCCATCAAGTCCGCCTTGTTTGACTTGAAACCTTGGAAAATACCGGAGTATGCCTCCAAAATACCACTGCGTAGCTGGTTACTGTAATCGGTCATTTCATCATCACCAGCTGTAGGTTGGGCAGAAAGCTCTGCAGCTCCTTGGAGCATGGGCATTGCGTAAATCAAATATTTCTCAAAGTGCTCCCCGATAGCCAGGGCGATATCCCCGAAGCATGAGAAAATGGGTGGCTTCACTGAGCGATGCAACTGATTGCTTGATAAGTCCTTCAGAAGCTGGGTCATAATTCCATCACAGTAGGGGAGCACCTTCTCGTCCAAGGCGCGACAGATATCCCCGACCACACCAACTGTAACAGCACACACCTGCAAGACAGCGAAGAGATTTTTTCCTTCAATTCTCATGTCCTTTCAAACTCCAGATGAGTGCACCAAACTTCAGATGACCAGGAAACTGTATCCATGGCTAGCGCCAGGAGATGCATGTACCTGATATTCTTCAAAGTTTTGAAGACCCATTTCCAAGTACCGGTAAAATTCGCTCATGTATTTTCCGAATTCAGCACCCGTTGCATATGCCAAAGCTCCGATTGCAAGCATAGCTTCCTCGTGGACTGTGGCACTTCGGCAAGCAAAGACGCGGAGGAACAGACCCATCATCTGATCGGCAAACTGTACGACGCCGTACTTTGTGAGCTCAGATGCACCCAACTTTTGAATGATGACCTGCACATAAGAAGTCCAAATCTCGGCATGAACTCAAAACTCTGGACTACGCGTACATTAAGCAGAAACCGCACATGCTCAAAAGATAACCAACCCTCAGAAAAGAAAAGAAAGCATAAAAAAATAAGGAGTTGATGTCAGTGAGGTTCACAATCTAACCTATGTGAGGAAGATTCTGCCAACCAAGACTCTAAGGCTTCTACTACGACTAAGAGAAAAACTGTAAGTAGTCGCTACTTATTTGATAAGAAACTATAGGGATTCACAAAGCAGTGACCAGGTTTTAGGTTTTCGGGTTTAGGGATTCACAAAGCAGTGACGACGTATGCCGAAAGGAGGAATAGACTTAATTTAATGATAACAAAAACAAAATAAACTAAAACTGAGACACGGCAACTGAGTTCAAAAACCTTTCGCTCACCTGGAGAACACCACAGAGAAGAGCCTGCAGTTCAATCTGCTTCTCCCGATCGTCAGAAGAAAGCACGGCCATTTCCAAAGTTTGATTGAGTTTCTCCATAATCACAGGCACTAACTGCACAACGATTGGGGCAGTGTCATCCGTTGATATTCTCACAACTTCGTTTAGAGTCTCATATGCACAAGTTCGAAGCCGAGAGTCTACGCTGTCCTCTCTCGCCGTCGCAGCCAACAAAGCTTCCAGGATTTTCGGGAAGTAAGGAGAAAGAGGAGTGGATGACTGCCCACCGTCCTCATAACCCTGTGCCAGGAAATAAATTGCTCCACAAACCTTCTCAGCCACGTTAGGTGTATCATTGATGCTCTCGAGAAGCACAGCAATGATCAAGGGCAGATTGGTTGGGGTGATAACTGGAGGCTCAAGCGAAGGTCCATGAAGGAACTCAAAGATCCTTCCCAACGTCCATGCTGTAGTATCCTTGACGTGATTATTTACATCTTTCATTGCACTCAACATGAAGTTGAGCGCAAGATTTACAAGAGGAGTCAGCTTGTCCAAAGAAGGACCCTCAAGAATGGAACCAAAAGCGTATGTGGCCGCCTCACGACATCTCCAATCCAATGGATTTGAGACATTTTGTTCTACAAAGGGCATGACCAGAGGCACAATATCGTCCCCGACGGCACGAGCGACCAGACCCAGACACGTCCCACCGGCCATGGACAAGTTCCACGCCCCTTCATCCAAATCCTGGTCCTCTTCTTGTTTTGTAAGAGTTTCTAACAACATAGGGACTAAAGCAGGCAATGCCTGTTTGATGAACTGGAAATACGGCACCTCCGAGTCACCAGAAAAATCAACATTGTAATCTTCCTGAATCTCAATTTCTTCGTCACAAATAGAGCTCCAAAACTCGATGGCTTGAAGTGCAACCGGCTCCTCATCTTCCTTGACTGCCTTAGAAGTGATGGCGAAAATGTCTTGTATGTACGGTGCGAGCTTGTCATAGTACGTAGATCCAATGGATACTAAACATTCAAATGCGGCCTGACGAACTCGAACATCAGGTGAGAGCGTGGCCTCACAAACCATCCTCATGATGTAGTCACGTTCCATGTCGTTCTCGAAATTCGTTTGCGCGAAGTCAAGAGCATTGTACAGAGCGTGAGTGGCTGCAAGTCGGACGTCGTTACTCGTCTCGGATGAGTTCATTCCCTGGACCACAGCAGTCAGGATAGAATTCACCTGCTCTTGAGCAAGGATCTCCGCAGAAACCTCCTCGCAGACATAGCCAAGAGCTTCTAGTGTTGCCTGTTTCAGATGTGAGGGTTGCTCTACTTGAGGGCCCCCCATGTTGGCCAAAAGTGACCCCACAAGCTCAGGCCAATCGCCCTGAGGCAGTTCAATAGCAGCAATCTTAGCGATAACTTGCGCAGCTGTGTGACGAGCATCCGCCACCATGGAGGAGAGAGTTTGAGAAAGAGCAGGCTTGATTTGAGCCTTCACAGTAGAGTCTAAGGCCACCCATCTTGTCACGAGTTCGTGCTTCCGAGAACTTTCCTTAGCATCCAGCGAGTTTTTGAGGATCAAACCAGCCAGCCTTCGACTCTCAGGCGGCTTATCATCATTGGCAAGTTCATGAGATAGAGATACCAAAAAGGCAGAGAGATTCTGCTCTTGATACTGCTTAAGGTTATCCTCGGCAATCTTCCTGACCGTTCCATCAGGAGACTGAGCGTTTAAAAGTATCTGTGTTACCTCCAGCGCCATCTTTACACCGCTGGAAGTATCTCCCTGCCTTCACTGCAAAAGTGATATCACAGTGGTCCCAAATCACCACGTGCAAAATCATGTTTGTACGACAATAAGAAAGGACCGCAACACCTCAGAGAGAGAGAGAAGGGAAAAAAAATCAAAATCAAAGTTAAAAACACACAGACGTAGTCGATGCAACATTGTCCAAAAAAATAACGACACTCAAATTAAAAATTTACAACCACTCATCAAATACGTTTGCCAGCACTCACTAAATGAGATGACCAGCACTAGGCATCAGACGTTAACAATGCGAACACGCTCCACATCCTACAAAGAACGAAATCTCACCCGCCAAACGCGATCCCTCACCACAAGAGTAGAGAAAAACACAACATGCGAGCTGCAGATCTAGTCCGCGCCAGGGTGAGAGAGGGAGAAAAAAAAGAAAAAAAAAAAACAAAACAAAACAAAACAAAACAAAAAAAAAAAAAAAAAAAAAAAAAAAATTTCCTTTCAATACAATACAATACAATACGAAGCAAACAAGGATGCGAACATGGAGTATCCACGCATCCAGAGAGACACGCAATGCGATCGAAGACAAGAGCTTGTAGATGAAAGGGGGGGGATGCGGGTCAGAAGAGGAAGAAGAAAAAAAAAAAAAAAAAAAAAAAAAAAGGTGTATGCGGAAGGGGAAGGGAAGACGATGGCAATGTATGAACGTAAAAGAAAGTCAACACGCAGAGGAAGAAGAAGAGAAGGGCAGGGAAAGCATAGCGATACGATGCGATGCAATAGAGTGAGTACCTGAGGCGTAGCGAGGCTAGGCGATGCGATGCGATCGACGGAGGAGGGAACAAGGCCAGCAGCAGCAGCAGCAGAAGAAGAAGAGGAAGCGGAAGAAGAAGAAGAAGAAGCAGCAGGAATGGAGGGAGCAGGGGAGAGCGGAGAGGGGGGGAGGGGAGGGTGGGGGGGAGGACGACAACAGGAGCGAGGCTTTGTAGCAGCCGAGAGTGCGGGGACGCAATTAGGGTCCGAGAGACACACACACACTCACTCTCTCACTCACAGAGAAAGAAGGAAAGAAAGAACGAAAGGAACGAAAACACGAAGAGAAGGAAAAGCCAACACTAAAGAAAGGATTCGGAAAGTGCCCCAAGGAGAGAAAGTAAGACTTGGTGTGACGATTGAACGAACGATCAAATCCAACGAAGGGTTCACAAACGAACGAACGAACGATCAAATCTTTACGTTTGTGCAACCTTCCCTTATCCTCCTTCCTTTCTTTCCATTCCCGACCTTCCCAGCCCACACTTTGCTTAGCTTTTCCTTTCCTTACAACCCACTTTGGATTTACACGGCACCGTTATAATGACTCCTCCTCCTTCTCCTCCTGATATTGCTGCTACTGCTTCTGCATTCTTCAAGTTTGTGACGAAACAACACGACCTAATCTTTCCAACTACTACATCCAGTTGTTTTATATTTTGGTTTGCTCTCTAAGAAATTCCAATCATGTTTAATAACCAAATTACACCAGATTCTGATCCCTTGAACCCAAACCTTAATTACTATGTATTTTTCTTGTCATTACATATTTGAAGAAATACAACCAGATATGATTCAAACAATCCTTCTCAAAAAGATGTTCAGAACTATAACTAATATTTTTGTTCAAAGTGTGCTGATTTTTGTTATTGGACATTTTTATTCTTGTTTCAATGATATCTATATGTGCCTTCGGGCATTTAAATTAATAGATAGACAAGCAAACAAACATGATAGTTACTTGATTCATTATAAACAAATATTAAAATGAAAATTGTATATAAAAACGATACCTTTTCCACCTATATTGTATGGCTTTTGGGTTCTATGATATTGGACAATCAAGAAGGATATTGTACTAATTCAAAGAACTAGGTCCAAATAAAAGATTGGCACCATCAAGGATAGTCAAAACAATGGAGTTCTAGAGCAATTCTGAGTTCTTAGACATAATTAAGGATCTACTTTTAACTTTTAATTTTATAAGCCAACAATTAAATAATTAAAAAAAATGGAATAATCAAAAAGTGAAACACAGAATGGAATTGGAGAAGAGCTATTTCTGCATGGATATGCAGATTGGTGCTAAGTAGAAGTCACTGTGAGAGAATCACATCAATGTGCTATATAGTTTTTTTGTTACTTTTTAAGATTTAATCAAAGCTTATGCATCTATTACTCACCAAATTTAAATTTTTTGAGACAAATCAGTTTGTATCAAGCTAAAAAAAGAAAGTCTGACTTTGAATTTGATGAAAATTGATATCATTCTAATTGAAGGTTTTATATATTCAAGCTCATGTGCAAGTGTGACATGTGATTCATATTGGTTGTCCGAGATATATTTCGATGCATTCTGCATAATTGGATTCAGATTTTCTTTAAAACTTTCAAATAAAGAAATAACTTTTGTTTTAAAAAGTTTACAATAACGTCGAAATACTTCCATACAAACAGCCATAGGACTCCATAACTTCGTGTTTCACTAATGGTTTTGGCAATGAGGAGATTTCAAGTGAAACAGGCCTTCCTATTCTCTTGTGTGTACTTTTTCAAGTATTTTCTATATATAATTACTTACTAATACAAGTATAAAATGCATAGTTATCCAATACTGCCATAATCTTTGATCAATGCCATGTGCTCAAAGAAAAGTCCAATGGAGGTTGAAATAAGTTTGTGAATGAGATGTACGACATGATAGTATCAGAATTTGAAGTGAAACACATTTGTGACTTAAAGTAAACGTAAACACATTTGGAACCATGCAATTCTTACGAATAGTTAAAAGGGGGGGAAAAATACATCTATAATGCACCGAAATTACACTGCATCCTCAATGCAGAAAAAAGCAGTTTTAGTTCTCGCTGGAAGTCTTCTCTTTTGCATTACATTTTCGAAAAAATCTGCAGCTCGTCGTACTGTCCAAATTCCTTATCCCCATGACCTATGCGATCCAGAATTAATCAGATTGGAAGGAAAACTTAAGCAAGAAACAAGTGCAAGCACGATAATCAAAATAACTGTGAAACTTGTGTATTTGAAAGGTTGGCGACAGACATCAAATACATTTCTATTCGGGCCCATTTCTGGCGCAGAACCAGCAAAGAACTCGGAATCCCACACATGTAATGCAAGAGAGAGTGGTTTCAGCATCCCCAAAGCTAGTCAAAATCGAGTAAGCAGATGCTCATCTATCTGCAATCTGGAAACTTCGTTTGGTATGCGAGCGCACTCTGCAACAAAGAGTTTCTCAAGTTAAAAACCTCTCTTGATGACGCAATTGAAAACAGATTGCCACGCTACCAATGTAAACTATTGCAGAAGTGTCAAGCTAAGCCATTTAAGTGACACGTCTGGAAGCTGAGACAGAACTTACCATGTACGTTGCAGTAATCATTTTACCCGCAAACCAACGCCCATGCAAAGCCCGTTGAGCTGCCATGGCCGCGGGTGTTGATTCAAAGCACAGGTAAACATGACCTGCACTATTCCTGAAAAAGACAATCAAGGAAACTAAGCAACCAATCCTAAAAGCATGCCAGATGAGCGAACATTGACATGAAACAAAATCAGTCTAACAATTTAAGATCAACATCGCAAATGCTTGTGAAACGATTGAAACTAAAGGAGATAATCGCACAGACGTTTTAGAACAACTCAAAAGAAATTTCTGAGAAAAATAACGAAAATAAGCTTCGATACAATATTTTCTTAGTCCCGCTAAAGAGGAGGATTCGAAAGGAAATAAACTGGAGAAAAACGCTAGCTTACTTATCAACAAAGATATGTTTGACAGCACCGAACTTTGAGCACTCGTCTTGTACATCCTCCTTAATATCCAAGTCGAACTCCGGATCAGACTGCACAGGTCCAAAATTTATGTTAGCGTAAGAAAACGGGATATTCAAACTTTTCACTCAATAAAATAGTTAAACAAGAAGGGACCGCGAACATTGAGTTCATATGTCAATGAAAGAACAAAATAAGAACATAAACAGTATCCCAGAGTCATGATAATAAAATTCGTTTAAAGAATCTATGTGTCTTACGGCACTAGGGAATAAAATTTCTTTTGAAAAAACAAAGTAGAGAAGGCTGACCTCAGTACTCGGGTCAAACATGTTCTTGAGCAGCAGATATTCACTTGGCTGTCCAATTGCGTCAACTGCACCAACTACCGGAGGCATCACGAGGCCAGGTGTACCAAGGGCAGCAGCCCCCAATCCAGTAGCGGCTCCTGCTAGGACCAGAGGGTTCTGAACGAAGAAAGGGGGTCTCACCAAAGGAGTTACACCAGTAGGCACAGCTGTTCCAAGAAGACCAAGTGCTGGCACTGGGGCGGCAGGCAAGGTAGCACCAGTATTGCTGATGAACACCAAACAAAACAAAACAAAAAACAGGGGAAAAAAACCCACTGTCAGTAAAAGCCACAGGAGCGCAAGGAACACTACATGAAAAAGCACAAAATTTGATTGTTGGAATCAGTTGTAGTAAGGCAGCCGTACGGAAGAATCAACAAACAGATAGGATATTATCCAACATGATGTAATCAGACAATTTTAGCAACCCAACAGTAAATTAATATTTCTAGAGAAAAAAATCGCTGTGAAGCACTACCTTGTTCCACTTCCGCTCCGATCCAGCTTCTGCATGAGAAGGGCTCTCGAACGAGCATTCAACGACTACAACCAACGTTATATCCAGAAAAAAAAAAGATCAGAACACTAAATTAAGCTTAGAAATGAAAAGTTGCGTCATGAAAACCAAAAACAGTAGATGCAAACATCGAAACTAATCGAAGACTCACCAGACCACCTCCTTCATCATCATCAAGTTCGCCAGGATGAACCCCCATGTCTTCCATGCCAATCTGGTCTGAGACGGCTGATACCTGACAAAAATAAAAATAAAAATAAAAACGAACTATAAGAGTTTTGGCTTCATATTAATTGAAGCACATGACACAACATGCACGAACCTCCACATCAATACAACGTAAGTGACACTCTTCAAAGAGGAAAGTATTACCTTAATTGGACGTCCTGCAAGCTCCAGTCCATTGAGATTCTGTTGCGCTGCACGAGCGTCTTCCAACCTTGCATACTGAATTACGTCGCAAACAATCACATGCATATCAATTGTTATGTTCTTCAAATCATTTTGAAAAGATTAGATGATAACTTTATTCATTAGCGTAACTACTTAAGCACCAGAATGCCAAGAAAATAACTTGACTAACAAGCAACAAGACAAAAACCACACATTGGCACGACGTGTAGAAACACTGAGCAGCAATTGGAAACAATAACTAGCATGAAGAATTGAACAATATGGAAACACTTACTTGCACAAATCCATATCCTTTACTCTGTCCGGTTTCAATATCAGAGGGTAGCTGCACGAGTTCAACTGGCCCAAAAGGCTCGAAAACCTGAAAATGGCATGTAATAATTGAAAATCCGCAGATTTAAGGATATCACAATTACACGTATTGATCATGTCAACTTCAGAATTTCCAAAATGTTACTGAGTAATTTTCTTGGTGCAATTCATATGTACGAGTGCCGACATCCATTTAAAGAGCCAATAAAAGCCGCAACCTAAAATACCCAATATCAAAAAAAAATCTAATGAATGAAACTCCAATTATTACAATAACTACGTAGTGACGTCAGCAGAAGATATCCACGATACCTGACGAAGCTGATCCTCAGTCATATTGAAGTGAAGATTTCCGACATAAAGACGACGAGCGCCTCCTGAGTAAGGACCGATGAAGCCACCAGTAACTCCTGGAACCGCAGTTGTAGATTGTACGAGATTCTTTTCAGCTTCAGAGGGTTTTACCATGACCGGCTGATTCAATAATAATTGACCTGACAAAGCAATAGCCATTGGCACTGACATGGCATCATAGAACTCAATATACCTGTAACAAAGCACCCCCGCGATGGCTTGGTCAGTTAATGCAAGTAAAACCAAGAACATAGGAAATAAAGGTCTCGCGGAACAAGGGTAATCACAAAGCACGAAAGTGGAAGTCGACGACAGGAATGATATGAATGAATCGTACCCAACTCCTTTGGAGCGCCTCGAATTCCGGTCCATGATAAGCCGGACATCCCGCACCTAGAATCCATACACTGTTAGCACCTTGGCACATTCTGTCACACCTTTAAGTGGAAAAGAGTGCGAGTAGAAAGGATCCAAACCATGGGATCTTGACATTACACTGACATCCTCATGCCTCTCAACCTCGCATAGCTGAGGTGCCCCAAAGAAGCTACTTACGTAAGTAAATCAGTTTAGCGCTCACCACAAGCTCCGGTCCAGAATCACAAAGAAGGCCACAAGTCTGACCTCATTGCAATCAAACTCAGGTATGTGCACTGCAAAGAAGCAGAGGGTTTGATTCATACTCATGGTGTAATCAATGAACTCGTTGTGTTCCACAGAAGATTATAGAGTCAGGCAGCAACAGCATCCTAGTGAACCTTTAACCTTGTTCTCCATATAAACCCAGGTCAGAGTTTGTGGCGCAGGGTATGAAATGAGATATAAATTTCTAAAGCACACACGTAATCTACCAAAGAGACCACAACACTATAATTGTGCGCACAGCTTCGGGCTTTGACAGGCCTCTCTCTTACAGCATGACCACAGAGCTTACAAACTTAAGTTCCTGTAACTCTTCACATGATAACGTCTACATGCCCAGAAGGTATGTCATGAGATCAGGCCTAACCTTTCCAGCCCGAGAGAAAAAATCGTACACATCCCGCTCATCCGCTTTCAATGAAATCTGCGTCATAAACAAGATGATGCCACCAGTCAGCCCACGGTCATGGAAGATAAGCGAATATCACTGGATGAACGTTTGACTCCACGTAGATGGATATTTCGATGTTTCATACGATATTGCGTCTATGAATAAAACATGCCGGACTCTACTAGACATATCCGCCAATTATGGCGACTTCTTGGACTCACGGAAGCCAGAGTTGAACTTTAGCAACTCGGACCAGTAAGAGGGGACAGGTTAGCTTCCAGGTAACTGCTGAGATAGCACCTGCGTGTAGCAATGAAGGTTCCTAAAAGCCCTCGAGCAGATACAACAGGAAGCGGAAGCTTACACTGCCTGAAGCAGGGCTAAGATTATTTGACCAATCGAATAAACCTGCATGACCAGATCCCCCCACGGTCTCTTTCCTGTGCCCCTAAATTAACAATCTCCAGAGTGCAAGAACCCCTTATGTTCAACTCAATGTGACCACGGGCGCAAATTATTCCCAAAGTCACAAGGATCGAGTCCTGCATTTACATGTGGGGATAATCCACTACCATCAGTTTCAGGGCAACCTGCTCGCCTTAAAAAGGGGAAACTAACACCTAGAAATGTGTTGTGTCTTTCACTATTAGATACTTCAAACTGTTCTCTTCCATTTTGTGCTCCTAACTACGATCGCTCTGTGAGCAAGTAACTAGAGTACAAACGACTCGTTGCCAAAACAAACACTACTTCCCCTGGCATCCATCTACGTACAAAGACGTCGCTCATGAAATAATGCTACGAGCCGAACTGTTGATGTGTACAACTACTCAATCAGCAAATTCATTAAGGTAGGAAAACAACTCGGCTATACGTTGTCCAGGAAGGAGCTTCACAGAGCCGACACCATGGTCTATTAAAGAACCCTAATAGCACTAAAACTATGTTGAAGTAGGAAATGAGGAGCTGAAGCAATCATAAGCAGTTGAAATGTTCAATTTCTCCACCTGATATGCAAAAACTGTTCTTTGATCCCGCTCAGGGTCAGCCTCAGGTTCATTCGCCACAATCTCTTCCTTGCGATCCTTGAGCTCCCTAGACCGTTTCCTGTATAATTCGAAAAAACGAATATTAGAAGCCTTCACATATCCAGACAGAAATCATTCTTGGGAAATAATCTCATGGGGCGCTACAAATACAAAATACTATGCTTAAGCAGATAAAGGAGAAGGACAATAGTGACTAAACAAAAATAAAAATAAAAATACCGGTGCTCTCTTTCGCGCTCCTTCTCTCGTTCCCTCTCCTTCTCCTTTTCCTTCTCCCTCTCCCGCTCCTTTTCTCGCTCCTTCTCACGCTCCCTCTCGCGGTCCTTTTCCCTGCTGCGATGCCGGTCACGAGACCTGTCTCTCTCCCTGTCCTTCTCTCTTTCCCGCTCCTTCTCGCGTGACCTCCCCTTATCAGAAGACTTCTTGACACTCGACTCTCTGCCTTCACGCCTGGACTCCTTCTCCGCGCGCTCACCATCACCTCTGTCGCTTTTGTCTCTTCCCTTGTCCGACCTGCTGCTCCTGCTACTCCGTTCCTTCTCATTCTCTTTCTCAGACCCTCGTTCCCGCGTCCGACCAGGCGAGCCGTGACCGCCGTCCCGTGCACTCCTCGACCGATCGCGCTCCGACTTCTCCACGCCTCTCTCTTTCTCCCGGTCCTTGTCCACTCGGTCGCCGCGCTCACGCTCCTCATCCTCTGCGCGAGTACGCTTGCTCTGGTGGTCGTGCGTATCGTTATCGCCACTGCGACGCTTATAACTAGACTTTCGTCGATCCCTACCGTCTCGATCGTGCCCATTGCCCCCCTCATGGTTGTTCACCTTGACATCCCCGCCCTCCGTCATCTTCTCCAGGTAGTCGTACTCATCGAACTCCATGATTTCACCGCCACTCCTATATTCACCGCGCGCAAGAGGGCGCAGCAGGGGAGGAGGTGTGATTCACACAGCAACGACAACAAGAGACGGGACAGACGGGCCGCAACCAAACCCTAGAAGTCAGAGCCGAAGCCGAAGCCAAGGAGGCCAAGAGAGAGGAAGATGATGACTGACTGACGCACAATCCGTGAAAGCGGAGAGAGAGAGTGAGTCTTGAGAGGCACATAAGCGTTGTCGCCCTTGAATCCCCACTGAGAACCCCCCCCCCTCCCTTCTGCCTTCCTTCCTTCCTTCCACCCTCCCTTCCCCTCTCCCACTAACTCTCCCTCTCTCTCTGTCTGCTCCATAGCTCTCTCGCCCTCCTCTTTTTCTTTCCGCCTCTCTCTCTACCTTTCTCTCTTTCTTTCTTTATTCGCTTTCCTGAGAAAGGGTTTGCCTGCTTTGGCTTGGCTTGGGATGCATCACGCTGTCTGTCGCCTCACGCTTTCCCTCGAAGGAGGAGGCGTGGAAGGGAGTTGGCAGTTCCAATCCCCCTCTCCTATCTATTCATCCAATCCGACTATTCATCTACTACTCATCCATCTACTTCCTGCGTCCGTCGCAATCTAGAAGTCACTATCGTCCCACGCGCCCCAACCCTCTTCCTCCTCCCCGCGCCCTTCCTTCCTTCCGACGAGGGCCAACTTCCATTGGCGCGGCATATTTTCAAACATTTTTGGGGCCGTTGGCACCCCCCCCCCTTCATATACTTCACAGGGGAAGGGAGGGGACTCCGTGATGCATGTAAAGCTACACACATACACACGCACCACAACTCTAGAGAATGTAAAGCTACTTATTCTTTGTTTCTTATTAACATTTGGGAAGAATGGTACTTTACATTCTCAAACACTACACAAAGTACATAACACCAGCATATTGAATTTCAAAAAATCAAATGAATATGTCACTGCTATTATACACCAAATGTAAAATAATAAATGTGATATCGAGCAATGAACTAATTGACTTGTACATTCGTATTTTATACACCTTGTTAAAAACTATAGGGTTCATCTATTTTTCACGCACTATAACAGGTTGTGTTACATTGCACAGGTTAAATGATTTAGAGAAAAATGAATATTTTGAAGTAATAAACACCTACCCCAGAAAGATAGAACAACTTCTACAGTTTTAAAAAATATTTAAATCCAATGAAGACTTGAAACCAAATAATTATCTCACAACTGTAAACAATCATTGTTATGATATTCTGTTTGCAACTAAGTTTAATTTTAGGAGGAGCACCATCTTCATTCAAGCAGTAATTCAGAAAGTCAATAGTAAGGTTGTCGCTTACAGTCTTAGTTGTTTCTTTTTGATCTATTGCACTTGTAGCATCCCATTTGTGGCTTACGATTCTTCATAAAAAACATTATGATTATTGTTTCAACGTTCAAACTATGTGATTATTTTTCTAAGATAACTAAGAGCATAACAACATTTTATTTTAAGCGAATGGGATCCATCAAATATGGAAAACTTATCCTCACTAATGGTCGAATTAAAAACTGGTTGAACAAGCACGTGTTTTTCTTGAAAAAAGCTGGATAAGATTAGCAAATTTCATATGATTGGAAAATAATCGGAATCGTTGAACACCTCTCTCTGAATGTGTATATGCATATTAGATTCTGAAAAGACATTTTTCTTCCTAATATTAAAACTTACAAAGTAAACTAAAACCATTGCATCATCAAGATTGGTGTCATGACTTAATAAAATTACTACGAGATATCAAACTAATTTTTATTTAAATAAAATATTGTTATTTGAAAATACAGAAAATCACATTAATATAAATAGATAAGAGCTTCGTATAATAATAATAAAAATACAAATAATATATGTTAACAGACTAAAGTTATCCAGTATAACCATAGTGAGATATTTTGGAGGGTGATAAACTTGTCTATGAGAAGAAAACAGAGGTGAAGGTGGGGCTACCAGGCAAGGTGAGAGGAAGAGGAATAGTAGACATGGGCATAGGGCACAAGTGCAAACAGAGAGAGAGTGAGTGAGTGGGTTTAGGGCACAGTTCAAGTGAAGAAGGTGTGACGGACGGAGACATACACAGAGACAGAGACACAGAGAGAGAGGCTCGGGAGAGGAGTGGGGATGATGTTAGGGTTGGGAGGGCGAGGAGAGAGAGGGTGTTTTCCGCGCACTATTATTAGAATAATGATAATAATAAAAAAATGAATAAAAAACAGAGGATGTTAATTCTATGCCACCTCCAAGACGCTCTTTGCCCCCCTTTTCCCCACTTGCATGCTTGTTCTACTTTTTCTCCCTTCCTTTCTTTTTCTTTTTTCTTTTTCTTTATCTTCTTCTTCACTTCCTCCTCTTCTCCTTATTCTTCTTCTTCTTCCTGCTCTCCTTCCCTCCTTCCTTCCGTCCTTCTCTCCCTCAACCCCCCCCTTTTTGCGCCTCCCTCCCTCTCCCTCCCTCTTCCTCCCTCTTCTCATCCTTTTCGGCTTCCCTACCCCGCACGCATCTGTCCTTTCTTGTTTCGTCGTCGTCGGCTTTGGAGGTCTTGTCTTGGAGTCGGCTTCGACGCCTTGAGCTTATTCTTCTCCTTTTCTTGGAGTCTCTCGTCAGGTTTAGCTGTTGTGCAGGGAGGGCTCCTCCGTTTTGCCGATTCGTGCATCATGTCTCGTGTGTACGTCGGTAACTTGGACCCGCGGGCTACCGAGAGGGAGCTGGAGGATGAGTTTCGAGTTTACGGTGTGCTACGCAGGTTTGTTATTGTGCTTATCTCATCTCATCTCATCTTATCTACTTATTTACTCACTTTTGTTGAGTATGAAATGTTCTACCTGTTTTTTGTTCTTAAATTGCTTGAAGGAATTGTGTCATGAGGGTTTGGTTGGAGATAGGTGTTGTGCTTTTCCTAGCCAAGATTTATTACGGAAAGTAAGTTATGCCTGCGTGCTAGGTATGGTTTATTTGCTCGACGCGGCTGCGGGCTATTTTTGTGGAGGTCTATGTGCTTAGTTTTTGGTTTGATGACGCTTTGATTAATCTTTTTTTTCGGACAGTAGGATGGTTTCTTGGCTAAGATCCCCACTTTTCTTATCTTAAACCTATCATTTTTTTGTGGTATACACTTGTTCCTCCTTTAAAAGCCTTGTTAGAGAAATAATAATCGTCAGTTTTAGAAACTCGCATGGAAGAAGCATTTCTGAAAGCTCTACTGATCTGTTGCCCGAATACTCCCATGAAGGCTATTGGAACTAGGGTCCACATCTCAAAGACTGATGGAGATGAGTACAACTTGTCTAACTTGTCAGGAAGGAATCGTCTACAAGTTGTACATAAGATTTCACAGTTCTGTCCCAGTGATTCGTCTCTCATGCAAGGACTGTCCTCCTTTTGTCTTGAAAATCTGCTGCTGAAAGCCATTCCTGTCTGACCCATGGATTTCAGTGTGTGGGTTGGCCGCAAACCGCCGGGCTTTGCTTTTATCGAATTTGAAGATCGAAGAGATGCAGATGATGCCATTCGTGCCTTGAATGGTATGTTCACGTTTTGCCTTGTCATGGTTTTGATGTACTGTATGTATCTGGTGACACAGTGTTTGGGTAGCCCGGAAACCGGCGGGGTTTGCTTTTGTGGAGTTCGATGACATACGAGATGCTCGGGATGCAATTCGGGCTCTGGACGGTAAGCGTGCAGCCAGATAGAGGTCCCGTAGAGGAGTATAGGTGTCTTGGCAGGCACAGGGCGTCAAGCAGTCTGGCTGGATTTTCGCAGTAAAGGCGGTATTTTGGAGACCGTAATCGGTTACTTTCATGGGGGTTGTGATTTTGTCTTGTGTACATCGTCATGTAGGTAAGAATGGTTGGCGAGTTGAGCTTTCTCGGAGCTCAGGCGGAGGCGGTGGGCCCCGCGGTCGTGGAGGAGATGATATGAAATGTTATGAATGTGGAGAGCCTGGTCATTTTGCACGAGAGTGTCGTCTTCGTATTGGGGCTGGAGGTTTGGGTACTGGAGGCCGTGGTAAGAGCCCTCGTGCTAGCCCAAGATATCGTCGCAGCCCAAGTTATGGTGCCCGAAGGTACCTCTTCTTTCCAAATATGTGCGAGGAAAATATTACAGTGAACGGAGAACGCACTTTGTATTTTGGTGTTCAAGTAGTTTCTGATTTTTTATGCTACTATTTTTTCAATCTCTTCTTTATACTCTCCTTTCCCTTGAATCTAATGGTGCACCATGGTCTAAAATCTCTACCAGCCCACGATATCGACGCAGTCCAAGCTATGGTTACGGCGCTCGAAGGTACGTCTAGCGTATGATTTGATTACTCTGATGACTTTATCTTGGTTCGAAGTCTACGTTTATCTGGTGTCGATCATCCTCCAGCTCCGCCTACTTGATTCCAAGTCGTCCAATGAGATTCTTCCGACTTCCTCCGCGGTTGGTTTCGTATCATGATTGTTTTATGCTATGATTTTCTGATTTTTGTCGACTCTATTATTCGCAGTCCACCAGCTCGAGGAAGGAGCAAATCTTCGCCACGCCTTAGAAGTGTTTCGCCTGTTGCCCGCCGCGGCCGAAGCCCTAGCCGTTCGCCACCACCCAGACGTGATCGCCGCGGTTCCCCAGTAGGCAATGGGTATGCTGCGTCACCTAGACGGGACCGTCGTGGGTCCCCAGTTGTTAATGGGTATGTGCTACTGGCTGTGCCTTTCCTCTACTTTTATGGCGTTAAATGGTTTTACACACATTGGTGGTTACTGTCTCTTGTGATTTTGAAGCCTAACTATGTGTAATCGCCCTCATTTGTAGGAGCCCAATAGCAGCTCGGGATCGCCGTAGGAGCAGGAGCAGAAGTCCTTGAAGATACTTTTCTGAAGTTTTTGATGCAATTTATGCTCCCTTGAAGTTCTGGAGTTAGTCTGTCAGGAAACAGTCTTTTCTGCATCTGCTGTCTGCACTTTCACGCCCTCGCAGGTCCTAGAGCGCATGCTGAGGTGGGCTTGGTACTAATTTTTGAGTTGTCATGAGCTCGCGATACTAGACATGTGAAAGCTTTGGACCTCTCCTTCAAATTTTGCTGACTGCTTCAGTAGAACAATCCTGTGCCGAAGCTTCAGCTACCACCGACCTGTGTTCTTTTCTATTGGTTGTTGTTTTTATTGATATTGTCAACGGATGGAACATTGTTCTCGTATGATTGAAGATGCTGTAACATTCGTAAATATTTTGCGGTGGATGTCTGAAATCAATTGTTTTGTCCCGTCATGAGGATTATAAACTTACCATGGCATTGTGCCATTCGTTGGTGTTTTGTGAGGTGTGGTTGCCTGAAACGGCAGGGCACGACATTATTCTGCTCTGCTCTTCCTCCTGGCTTCCACGATATACTGCATGTTCTGCTCTGCTCTGCTCTGCTCTGCTCTTCCTCCTGGCTTCTGCGATATACTTCAGAGTTTCCCTCAGTCTTTTGGGTGTCATTTGCCTGCATCGTTTTCATCGCATGTTTGCTCGGCTCATCCGGCAATGTCGGTGCTTCTGGCTTCTGGGAAGGTTGTTGAAATCTGCATAACATGTGGCTTCTTAAGATCACCAGCTCGCTTCTCAGTTCAAGTAAGTTGTTTTGTTTCACGTATAATATTTAACAATGAAGCTTGTGTTATCTGAGCATTAAGCTGTGGTAAGGGTCATATGGATCGTCTTTCTCTTCTGGACCTCTCACCTTCGTCTTTACTTCAACTCACTATATTGTGGCTGACGAAGTTTCGTTATTTAATAATGTATTAAACCTGCACTAATAGGTCTGGACGAAGAGTTCTTCTCAAAGCTCTTACGTGGACTAAACACGGCAGGAAACGTGTATATGAAGGATATTTGAAGCCTGTTATCACGAACTGATCTGCATCTGCATCCTCTACGTTTAGCTACTTTTTTGCAGTTCAAATGGAGATCTGCTGTTTTCGAAGAACTGTCTTTGGACCTTCCCTTATTTTTAGCTCTACCCAATCCATTATGTTATGACTGATGTGTTAGTGACAAGTTCCTTAGCGGAGCATATCCTGTGCTTTAGGTTGCATTATCTCATTCGTAATAAAATATAAATCTAATCGTTCATTTATAATTATCATTGACTTTGGGAATATTAAAGCCACCATGACCATATTGAACACACTAAAACTATCAAGTTTTCTGGAGCCATATCCCTCATCTTCTCAGTATTTTTATTCTTTCTGCGGAGGAACTTGTAAGCGGATCAATTCTACTAAGTGTAGGTTGTAGGTCTTCGATGTGTCAGGGTGCACTTATTTTTGTGTCACCATCTATCGAGGATATGACCGTGAGATTTGATAACTGTGTTGTGATTGTGCTATTGACGTGGGTGATGGACCTGACGTAAGTGCTAAAATTGACGGTTTTCAAACTGTAATCAATATGAGATTGCCTATGTCCATAAACTTGAAGTTGATTTATATCCGTAGATTGCTTATTAGATATGTTTTTATGAATTTAGCTGTAATATGTAAAATAAATATTCTAGTAATTGGACTTGAACAAAAACAAATTAGGAAGCTCTTTTAAACATCCTTGCACAATACTTTTCAATAAAATCATGTTTGACCATTTTTAAAAATCTCATGTATAAACACTAGAAATATATGCAACAATTAATCTTGATATATTCTTTACAAATTATTTAACATTTTTAGTATACATATGAATTTATATAATTAATTTCTAGATCATCTTAATTCAAATAAATACATCAAGTTAAGCAGTTATTTAATAATCTAATTTAAAAATCTATAATTATGTCTTTTATATAAGTTCTTTACTTAATAAGTGTAATAAAAAATCAAATTCAATAATTTATAGTTTATTACTTAAGAAATTAAGATTCTTTATTTTTAAAAGAAAAGTGTTTTAAATTTTCCAAATTTTTATAAATAATTAAGTTGATTTACAATAAAAGCTGTTCAAATCAATTTTTTTGTACTCTTGATTTTAATTTTTATAATGTTGCTTTCTACTACAAAACTTAAAACTTATTTATCCATATCTCTATGATTTTAGAATGTAGTTTTGTTATTTGTGCTTTAAATGTTATAACCATTTGAACAAAGTACATTTTTTTATGATAATTAATAGCAAGTAGTTATAGTATCTTGGTTCCTAATATTCACCAAACTTCTTAATTAAAATTGGATTTGAATGTAATTTTATTAATAGTAATTATAACATAATTGTAAAGTCATTGATCACTTTAAGTATTATTATTCTAGCAAATTGTTATAATATGACTTGATAAAGATTACATTAATGTCATTCTTCTATTTGTGATTATTTTAAATTAATTGAGTCTTATCGATTATATTTATACATAACATGCATGTATGTCTTTAATGTAATTTGGTAGACAATTCTTCTAAGTTACAATTTATGATTGATTATATTTAATTTGCACTAGATTTTGTATATCAATATCATCCATTGGTTACAATCTCAACAATTTTTGTACTTCAAGTTGTCACCACCTACCCATTCAAATCTAAAAAGAGTTTCACTTCCAAAGGATTGTCTACAATTGTAGATTTGTGCCAAGTCAAAGATTTGATACATACTTTGGGTTAACTAATAAGTTGGTATTTGTAGTTTCTTGTTGTCTTTATTTGATGGAGTTGAAGACAATGAAAATGGATTTCTAATTTCTTACTATCAATTTGCTTGAAGGATGTTAGATAGAGTTTGTACATTCTTGAAACATGATATTGCTAGAAGCTCTACCTCTTACTTCTTATATGACCTTTGAAGAAGTTCAAAAGGTAGTCAAAGACTTTGCAAAAGTGAAAATGGTACATGGTTTGGAAGAAATGATTTGCGAAGAAGCATAATTGTCTTGATAGAAAATTAAAAAGGATGGACTTTGTTTGCATGCTTAATAGAATGCTTGCAATAAAAGAATAACAATTGAACAATACAATTAGTGCAAGAATAGATTGTCTCTTTCAAGTAGTCTTTTGGAGAAATTGAAAAACAAATCATGATTGTGATATCAACATTGTGAATGCTTGCAATTAACACAATTTAGATGAGAAAATTGTGGCAACTAAAAGCATATGACAACTACATTGTTGAAGCCAATGCTTCTCTGAAGATCATTGCAAAAATCTTCTACTTCACTAGTTGCTTAGCAATGTATCAAGTTATCTACAACCAAAGGCACTAATTAAAAGTGAAAACTTTTTGAGGTAGGCAGTCAATCAAAGCTTTGGTGCACATTTTCATTGAGAAAGAAATAAAGCATGACAATAGAATTAATGAAATTGACAAGCTTATCCAATTCTTCTTTATTCTAAAAAATATTAGAGGAATTGCCAAAGAATATTCATCAAACTCTATTAATCTTTCAAATTAAACTTATAAGATAAACAAATAATTTTTTCAATTTAAAAATGGTGATGTTCTAATTGTGTTTAGTACATTATTACTTACTTTTGATTATTGTTGTATTGGACATATATGAAATGCTATTGCTTAGGATATGATTTTTTTTCTATAATTAGTCATTCTCAAAGTTTTATTGCTTTATGAGTGGTGATGAATTACAAAGTGTTACTTTAGATTTAATATATGCAAAAGAAGGTCCTTGCAAATGTCAAATCTATAATTATATCAAATAGACAATTTGACAAGTTTATGAAGATGTAGCATGCAATGTGCTAGATCACATCAAGGAAAAAATATACATCTATTGACACCATTACTAAAATATTTGTGGAGGTTTGAATCAAGAACATTCTTTATTTGGATTATATTACAACATCTTGCAATATAAAAAGGCATGCAAGAACATAAACATGGATAATAGTTTTAACAAAGAATCTTCTTGCAATATATGAGAAACCATAACTTATAAATTCTTAATAAAAATGTGCTACTACCTAAGAAATTTCAAGACAAAAATCACACATCTTAACCTAACAAAAAATGAATCCGCTTTGGAATGAGGTTTTATTAAGAATGTATTATTTTGTATTAAATCATGTATGGTCATAGCTTCTTCTTTGTTATACATTTTTTATTAGATTGTAAGATTTTTATTATGAAAATATTTTTAAAGATACTCAAGGAAAACCATAAATCATAATCCTTTGACAATATGAATTATTGCATAAATATATTATTAAAACAAATCAACATATCTTGTGCCATGCCTTTAATCAAATTAATAGGAGAAAGAGAAGTTGAGGCAATAGATTTTTATTAGTATTGGTGGTTATCCAAATTTATTCTTATTCTATTCAATTCTATCAAAGAAAGTCTACTAAAAATAATAAATTTAAATTTATAAGAGCTTTTCAATAACATTAGAAAAGACAAAAGAACGTGCTTCTTTACCAATAAGTTAATTTGAAATAAGTAATTGTTATACTAGATTCTAATGTGGTAGAAAAAATCTTTAATTTGGCATAGATGTACATTCTAAGATAATCCTTTGAAAGTTCAATGTGTAAAAATTCTTTTGGATTCAAATTAGTAGATGAGAAGAATAATCCAACACACAAAAAATGTGGAGGTTGTAACTAGATTGGTGCTCTCAATGTCTGTACATGCCTTCTTTGTAGAGTCTTTTTAGTAAGTGTGCAATATCTAACAAATAACACTAGAGTGCAAAAACTTGCACTATTGGATGATACTAGCAATGATGATTGAGAATGAGAACTATATAGGTAGCCAGGTGAGAGTTGTATTTGATAAAAAAAATCTTTTTGTACCATTGTATATAAGGCATATATAATGAGGAATGATATCTTGTTAATGCATGGATGATGTTGTGCTGTCAGATATATATATATATATATATACACATATAATGACCTAGATATAGTTTCAAGATAATTATAAGTTTACAATGAACAATTAGGTATATTTTGTCAATGTCTTATAAAATTGGTTGATGTTTCTTGTGTTGGGTATCTGAAAACAATCCAAATCAAATGCAAAAAAACAGTAGTCAATGTCATTGTGAATGAGAACATTGATATATGGTTGTAATATGACAATTTCTTGTGTCAATCATAAACAATTCTGTAGTAAGCAAGTTAACACGATGGGTGTGAAAAGGTGGGTCACTTGGGTGGGGTTGGCATCCACCCAAGACGCTTTCACTAGTTTGTGTTTTTGGTATAGATCTGCAACTATGGTGAAAACACATATCTGCTGTGTTGCTGGGTTGAAAGTGTCATACTGTGTGCTTCTGTGAAGGAGGCACCATCAAAGTTTTACTTCTATGTCCAATATGATGAACTCTAAAAACTACAGTGCCCGTTATGCCAGTACAGAAGGATTATGTCAAATGTATTATCGCACAGAGCAGTGCAGAGCAGAGTTCCATCACGTGGATTTCAAGCTTTTTTTTTTTTTTACAAGTTTCCATTTTGCATCACATCATCTTCGGCTGCTATGCTGCACTTGGGATTATCTGCAATGTTCAATTTCTCATGGATGTGGCTCATTCCTCAGAGCTGGTCCTCAATGACGTGCTATTTGTCAAGATCAGTCTTGAGTAAATTTGCACCCCCTTGTGATACTCTGCTTTAATCTCTGGGGCTTCTCTTTCATGAAAAACAGTCACGCTCTTTGTATCACGTAGCAGCACCTCCCTGTACGTTCGGCTGGAGCTGGTAACATATTGATGCCCAGTGGTTTTTAGACAAAGTGGGGGTCCAGGGGACTTGTCCAATAACTTAAAGGTTTGGAATTTTATCCAACTTTGAAGGATAATCGCAAGCAGTCAACCAATGCATGCGGGGAAAACTTGTAGGAGAACCGCAGCGAACTAAAATTTTCCGGCAATTGCTGAAAATTAGGATGCTGATAAAATAAGGTAAAACGATATTGCTGAAAGAGACTTGTGAGATAAAATGGATGAAACTACATGGAATATCTCTTTGTCTAAGAAAATGGAGAAGACCTCCATGATACAGATTCTGCGAAGTGACACCAGAGGCAAACCTTCACAAGAGAGACTGGTGGACTAGGACTTTCAAAAACAACTCCGTAGCTTGTCTGAAATGGGAAATGGTTAGCAGAAAACCATTTCAACAGCTTCTTCTGGCAGATGTATTCCTTGTCTTGCTAGTTATGTGCAATCATGATCTTAGGGAATGCCTCCGAAGTTTAAGCATGAAAAATCGGGCTGACCACCAACATGCCCACATTTATTGCCTTCGACCACATTGAAATTGCAATCAGTCTAGTTTTCATACTCTGCCAACAAGACGAGCTTGTAGATCATCACATTTTCCAAGACAGAAATGAACCAGACATTTAAAGATATCGTTTGCTTTCAGAGTTGGACATTGGGATATCGTGACGCAAACAGAACTAAAGATCTGAAATATACAACATAAACAGATACACGTTTTCCTAATTGCTCATGCTGATAATGAAGGCTCCTGATGTTTCGAACGTAGACTCAAGAGATGCTGGATAAACAGTGTAATAAAAATTTCATCTCTTCCTAGAATCACTTCAAGAACCAAATTTCCGTGGGAAATGAGCCAGAACTACAGCTCAACAGTAGTCAACACAACTTCGGAGGGAGTAAAACTCCGCTCCTGTTTCCAAGCTACTTGAGCCATGATTGTAAGAGATGATCGCGCATCTCGCTCATCTGCAACCTCACGAGTAAATGGGACCCGAATTTCTAAAATGTTTTGTGGAGATTTTGTGAGTACCCGCAAATCAAATCCTAACCTGTCCACCCATGTCATGCTTGCCTCCTCCAGCTGCAAGAAAAATCAGTTGCGCAAAAGGGATTGTCAAAACTCTGATCGTAAACAAGTTCACCAAGAGGTGTCAACCTTCACATGTCACTTGTAACAGGCAAATCTGACACCTTACCATGACGTGCATGATACGAAACTATTTGTAAGAAGAAAAGGGTACACAAATAACAGCACCTAAGAACACCTAAAGCGGCTTCAAAACATTGATCGTGACTCAACAAACCATTTTGGAACCCAAAGACAATATCAAACCCCGTGAGTAATAATACCCCTTGAAAAGCACTGAGGATCTCAACACTTCAGAAGCCGTCACACTGTGAGACAACAGTAATGATACTATGGCACAACTAGACGGTCATCTATTGCACCCATAGAGAACTGTAGAAATACTTACCTCTGCATCTAGATTTGCGTACACGTTGCAAAACCGACGAATGTCCTCCCAGTGATGCCGGTTCATATCTTCAACAATGCGGTTGGCACAATCCCTTAATGGGTCAGCTGTAGCAGCCCAGTAATGTGACCCAGAAACCCAAATCTCCTCCTGCAGATCATGATGCAAAAAGCCACAAGAGCTTCAATTTTAGGTGCCTGTAACATGTTTCATCAACAAACCCACAGAAGTTAACCCATGCCTCAGATAGCAATGGCATGGTCATTTACATCCGTAAAACTTACAGTTACAAAAAATAAGTCGCCTATTACCTCACCCATGTCTGGGGATTGTAAAAACCGTTCAACACTCATAATGTACAAGACGTCATCCGTTGCGTTCTCTGAAGGAAACCGTCTCTCCCATGCAATTTCAAGCCTCTGTGATACAAATAGGAATTTATCATCAAATGTTGCAGTTCCTAGTTACACCCGGCTGCATGAAAAAAACAAAGTAACACAGGACTCTAATTACCGTTAAGAAAGTCCAAATTACTTGGTCTTCTGCGGTCCGTTGGGAACACAGCCCCTTAGCACTAAACCTTCAAGTACCAACCAGCAGCACGTCGCAATTCGAAATAAAAAATGACATTTCAGAGGATAAAAAATTTAGCTGCGAGTATATACCAAATATGCCAATGCTTGCACATTACAACAGCCAACTCACCTCTTTCAGCTTAATATCTTCAACCTTTCGCATAAAACCTTGCAATGTGCACTGTGGCTTTCGTCGACCCGGTTGCTCCAGCTGCCCTCCCCACCAAATGAACCCCACCAACTTGAGCACAAAACCCAACCACTTTCATCGACCTCCACATCAAGAATACCAAGGTTGATCAGCTGCTGCCAATGCTGCATGACTATCTGTTAGACCTTAATCCTCACTGTTTTAAGGGCATTGGAAATGATTCGATGAGCATCCACGCAGCAGGTAGCTTCAAGGATAGCCGAGGGATATATTCGTTACTCTACGATTTCTACCTTCCTTTAAATGTGATTTGAGCGAACTCTAGCGTCGACAGTTCTCGTACTATCAATGACACAAGTTAAGAGTTCAGGACCAGTTGATGTATAATTAAGATCATAGCAAGGGTTTATATCAAAAAATATGCATTAAGTACTGTTGCAAGCAAACTCGTAGCAGCGTTTGGTGCTGCAAAAAAAGTTAGCCCTTTCAAAAGAAACTGCACAATGGTCGACTAAAGCTCATAAATCAAGGTGTCATTATGCACTGTCATTAAAATCCACTAATATTCCTCACAATCAATAATAGCTTGCCTCGGTCATTTCGTCAGAGGCAGCTCCCGAAATTCAAAGTTCAGGAAGATCGTCCGATAATTTACCTGCACATGAAGACTGCATCTGCTATCCTGGAAGATGTGCTGGGTATGCAGTGCACCTGGTTGCAACCGCAGCACAGGGTTCCCTTCCATGTCCACTACGAACTTCACTTCCGTTCCCAGAGGCCACCCGTCCTCTGACAATGTCGACAACGTCCCTTCCTTGCAAGTCTCCATCACCGTCCTGGCAGCCTCTGCCGGAGTAGGCCGCAGCAACTTTCCAATCTCCATTTCCTCCTTCTCCTTCGCGACCACGCCTTCAGCCATTGCCATAGCGGCTACCGTTTGCCTGCACCTCGCTCCCCGCTCGCTCTCCCATACTCCTCCACATTGCTCCCTCGGCGGCCTCAAAAACAAAGAATGCAACGACAATTTCCACCACGCCACTCTTGTCGTTGTGGAGCTACCCAGCTGCTGCTTCTCTGCCACGGATAGTACAGCGCAAGGCAGCTTGCTTTGCAACCTGGCGGGATTAAGCACCAAATCCATAGCGGCCATAACTGCAACCTTGATAGACGCAGGGGCAATTGTGAATGCAACACGCCCTTATCTAACTAGGAAACTAACTGCAGAGCAAATTCGATAACGACAACAAGCAACAAGGCAGGCAAGCAGGCAGGCAGGCAGAGAGCAAACTCATGTGCAGAGTGGGTTTGAGATTTGTGGGTGGGTCCGAGGAATTCGATGCAGAGTAGTGTGCCGGGACGGGCCCACCGACAGATTGAGGAACCTCATCTATCTGCATTCACGAATCCCCCCCCCTCTTACTCCTCGAATGGATGTATGGATGTATGTACATTGGATGACACCTTCCTGGTTTACGGAATTCATCCACATCTGCTTCATCACCTCGGTCTTCAGTCTTCAAAATTTCTCATCCAAATCGTCAAACGCCAACATTGCCGTCTGCATTGTCAACACAACTATTACATCGAGGCTAACATTTATTTAAAATGGGAACTGCAGCATCCCGATCTTTGATTGGAGGTGCTTTTCTAATCTGCTGATCTATGGTAAAAGGATTCGTCTTCATGTGAAACTATCCATGTCACTCCTGAATTGGGTCTGAGGTTGGACTGGTTCTGACCTTTTCGTCCTATTCCAGTTGCTTACATCTTTCAGTTTTCATGTCACTTCCTGAAGAACATGAACTATTCTCTTGGGAAAAAAACGACTTTTAAATCTAGAAGAAAAACTGATTGAAAGTGAGAAACAATTAGTGGCGTTTGACATGGTGTTCCAGTTTTCTTCCAGTTTCTTTACAAGTGCATAGAATGTTCTGGTATTTACATTGATGCTTTGGCTTAACTGTATTGACTCATATTGTAGTTGGTGGAGCTACTGGAGATGCAAATGCTCGACATTCAGCTTTGGGTTTACTCATATGATTACACAATGTGTCGGAGGCTTTTTCTTAAAGAGTGTTGAACTTGCTTACAACGGCTGGTTTCGCAGAATTGGCAAGTGTGATTCAAGCATTTTATCAACCGTTTGATAGCTATTAGCAAAGGTATGCTCTTTGAAACGAAAGAATGTATGGTGCGAAGGCATCATATGAGCGGATGTCGTGTTATACTGTTCCTATAGGTCATTCCTTATTGGAGGGATAATTAGTGCAGAAGGCAATTTGACACTTTATACCACTAATAGTCTATAACATGACCCTAGTAGCACTCTTCACGGAGTTTGAACGATATCCACATCTTCAAGATGATTCTCGTAGATGGATGTTCCTCTTCAGGTCTTCTCCTGCAACTCTGGTGATTGCATTTCTGTATCCTTTGAGCAGATACAGCATTTGAGCGAGATATCAGAACCAGATTTGCGAAGAGGGGTTTCACGGGGCTTCTGTCGACGGAGAGTTGAGCTCAATACAACAGTTCGAAGGATGGAAGCATCAATACCTGAAATCTTTATAGCGCTTGAAAATGCAGTCGATCACTGTATTAACTTCACCGGGGTAGTGGAAGCTAAGTCATTACTGCGTACTCTTGACCACCTAAGCAAACTCATTGTATGGAATGGATCTTGTTCATTAGCTTGAAAAGACATTCAACTCTTGAAATTCACTATCTTTGAAGCCAACGAAGGACAAATGTTTTCTCTTTAAATCTAGTTAGACTTTGACAATTAGATAGTTTAAATAATCCTTATTCATGAAACGTTCACAATTCAATGCAAATTTGCACAATATATTTTCATACTAAAATCTTCTTAATTCAAAAATTTGATTGCTTTGCAACATATTTGCACTACATCAATGTTGCAAACTAAATCAAGTTCTGATGTGCATTGCAAAATATCAGATCCACAACAAATAGCAATGCATGCATTGAATGTCCAATAAGTTTGAAAAAATACACCAACTTATCCAATATCAGCTTTTACTCTACTAGTCCTATATCTAGCTGTTCACAACATTAGATATCTTTCAAATTAGTATTTTGTAGAGGAAGCTTTAAGGTCACAAAGCAAGCATATGTTGTAGAAATATGAACAAAATTGCCTTTAATATAACCAGTTGTAATGCAAATAGGCACAATAAATTTAAATAATGAAGCCAATTTATTCAAATACATGTGATTAGTTAAGACCTCTTACAACAGATACAAAAGATTAATATTTGAATCTCCGTTACAAACTATTGAGTTAAGCCAAATCATTTTTTTTTTTTTTTTTTTTTTTTTTGTTTATTTAGTCTTAAGCAATTGCAAGAACATAAGTTGTGAGGTTGTTTAATAAGTCCGACTTAATAATATTAATACCAAGTTCTAAGTTAAAACCTCTCTATAAATTATTTTAAAGTAAGCATAGTTGAAGAAAACTTTGTTTAACATATTTACAATAAATGCGTAGTTCTTCTATATATCTTTCATAATCAATAAACTCAAGCAATTAAGTGAGAAGTTGTTAAATAAATACACTTGGCATCTATACACAATTATTAATATAGTTTGTTTATTAAATTCAAGATTACTATCTATCAATAATTGTTGTAAATTTTATATTATATTTAGAGAATTGAAAATAAATCCCAAAATATTACAAACTATTATGAAATTAAAATTGGTATATATTACTTCATCTAATTGTTTAATCAAATTTAATATCTTATTATAGATATTCATAGCAATTTAATGTAATAGATTTATTATCATGAGTTTAAGCTAATATATTAATGAATTATTAGTCATTGCATTGAAAACATTGCCTTCGACTGGATTTGTTGTCTTGTCAATAAATTATCGTAATATTATTGAATGTACTAAAAGAGATATTATTTTTTCTTACGTCTCTTTATACATCTTGTTTAATAATTCTTCAACTAATTTTTTGGGACTAAAGAGTTTAAATTGTAAACTTGATGTATGTAATGCTTCTTTCTATTTTATGTTGTTAAATATATTAAATAGCCAATTACAAATAAAAATTAATCTTGAAATCAATAACTTAATTAATTTATGTTATTTAAGCATGGACTTGTTAAGGAAATGAATCTTGAATAAAGAAAACTCAATACATTCTTGTGTTACTCGAATGATTAAAAAGTCACTTAAAGATGATAACATATTGAATTAGAATAGCTATTATTAAAGACAAGAAGACTAAAAAGGCTTGAAATAAGACTCAAGACTAAAAAAACATTGAAAAGAGTGAAGAAGGCTTCACTCTTGCTTCCATATATATTCTTAACTAGGAACTATGTGGCGATGTCTTATAGGACCTCCAAAACATGTTAACTTTGCAAGATACATATCTTAACTTGCAAGATAAGTTTTTTATATGTGCGCTATATAATTAGCTTATGGAACAAGCTACCAATACTTGGTTAACTTGTTAACTAAAATTCTAACCTACCAATTAACTATAAATACATGTTAAGTCAAAGTAGCATCTATAAAGCTTCTACATAGTTTTTTTAGAAAAAATTATGAAATAAATCTACTTTTATTTACTTCTACTTAATCATATAAGTAAATATTAGAGTAAATATATATAAATATATCCATGACATTGTCTCCTCTTTTCGAAACTAGTTTCACAAAGAGTAGTCATCATATGTTGAAAAAATTTAAGATACGGCAAATTATGTTTGCTATATATTTTAATCTTTGTTTTCTTTGAAGATGGTTGATAGGTCCGCTCAACCATTGATAATATCCCATACCAAGGCAAAAAAACCACCCTATTATTTGATCGTTGTTGAGGCTTTTGCTACTTCGTTCAAATAAAATATTTGAAACATTGTTAGGAGTTATTTCTACTTCTAATGAAATCACCAAACATCAAGAGTCTCTTTTAAGGTCGTGATATCAAACATGTTGTATCTCACCATTTTTTTAAAGAAAGACATGTTGATCTTGAAGATCTTCATCTTGATTATATTGACTTAAAAGTTGTAATAATTACAATGTCTTGTTTATTAAATCAGCAAGTCATAGCTATTGAATTGAATCTGTTAGTTGTTGATTTTCTATCTCCTTAGCATTACAAATACACAAAATTTATAAATAAGAATAAAAATTAGAATGCTATCTTCCTTAGATCTTATTTCTTTTGTAGTAAAGATTTGTTCTTCTTCATCTTCGTTTTGATAGATGTTATTAATGAAAAGTCTCAACTTTTTTTGTTGTATTTGCAAGATTCTTTACTAGCTCCCATGTGCATTCACTAATATCATATCTGTGCCAATAAATAAGATATTCTAATCTATTTTGGTGCCACCTTAAATCTAAGACTTCTTTTATCTTAAATTCTTGATTATTATCTACTTTTATAGAAAGAAGTGGTATTTTTCTTCTTCCCAAGATATTCACTATTTTATATGGCTCAAAAAAAATACGTAGAATATACATTGGATCTTTATAGACTTTGATAGATATAGTCAATAAGCAATAAGATTGACTTGTTTACTAATAGAAAAAAGTCAAAGTAGATAATAGTCTAACTTGTCACAAAAACAAGTAGTCTTGATATTATAATGAAGTAGCTATACCTTATCAACTATGCTAAATTGTGGTTGTTTTTTGCAATAGGCATCTACATAGTTCTTTTGTTATTCTTGAGCTTCTTTTAATTGCACCTTTATTGTTGCATGTAGCTTAGACAAATGATTTATCAAATCTTTTGCCGTAGGATTATTAACTTTTGAAAAGTCAAAAATATCAAATTATGGATAATAACCATAATTAGCAAAGAAAGATATTTGTTGAATAGAAAGATATATCAAATTATTGTATGTAAACTTTACCAATGGCAAAAGAATTATCCAATCATTTTAATGATAGTTGATAGTACACCTCAAATATTGCTCCAATACTTAATTCATCTATTCCATTTGCTCATTAGATTAGTGATAAAAAGCCAAAGAAAGTTTTATAGCCATCTTTAGAATCTTAAAAAGAATTTTCTAAAATCTTGATATAAATTGAATCCTTCCATCTGATACAATATCTTTGGGCAATCCATGATATCAATAGATATTGTCAAAAAAAAACTTAGTAGTTTCTTCACTTGTGTTAGATTTTGTACATGGTACAAAATGTACCATCTTGGTAAAATGACCTATTATCACAAATATAGAATCATAGAAATCTAAGACTGAAAGATCTATGATAAAATCCATAATAACAAAAGACTATAGTTGTTTTGGAATAGGTAATGGCTAAAAAAG